TCGGGGAAAAGTAGATTACGATCCTTGGCTCATCCAGTAGCCGCGTTAGTGTCAGTGCCTATCCTCCCCGATGGCTGAGCAGGGAAGCACATCCAGTGTGGCTGGGAGGGTTCATTCAGTGCTGCTGAGTGCACTTGAGATCAAAGTAAGAAGTGAATATCTAAGTAGGTACACTTACAGGCAGTTAGCTTTGTTCGAGTGGGTTTTTTTTTTACATTTTTCAGTAACCTGGTGGCTGCTTCATACACACAAGCTTCTTGATCTTGCTGTGTTGCCCCGATAACTCTTCTAAACACCTGTTATAACACCTGTATGATATCGTACTTGTATATGCTTGCACTGTCCTTTTAATCCTCCAAGTACAATATTGTATAGGAAAGCAATGTTTATGTATTTCCTTACACAACTACACTAGATTATACTTCTTGCTGAAAGAATGCAGTTTAATTGGAATATACAGGGAGAGCCAGTTCATTGGTGTAGATGCTGTGATAAGCTGTTAAATCTCATGGACAGATATCTCTGCCAGTATGTAAGTGGCAATTTCGGTGGTTACCCGTTACTTAATGGCATTTCTCTTACAAATTTAAATTAAATCTCAAAAGTCTGCTTGACACAGTGGATGACTGAAGAAACACTGGGGTGGTAATTGCATACTGCCAGATTTGTTCAGGAAATGCAGTTGTGCAGCACGACCAACAATGAGAAAGAGAGTGCAAAGAAATATCACACCTTGGGTTCTCTGCTGGGCAGATCTGCAGTGTTTGGGGAACTTCTTAGAGTTGCTTCTTTGGTTGTCCTTTCACTGAGAATTGTAAAGTGCAAAACTGTCTCATAATTACTGATATTTTACACTGATTGCACTCTAGTGGTGCTTCTCATTCAGCTTTCTCTTCATTGGAATAAAACTTATTTAGGGTATGATATCTTTGTGTGTTCATGATGTAGAATTCAGTTAATTCAGAAGGGAACCCTGACATGACTAGCAACTGCTAAGGAGGAAGGACATTGATTATGGTTTAATAGTTAGTCAAGAGCTATCTCAGTTAAGAACTGTTACTTGGCATGCCAGTTGAGCAGCTCTTATCAGAAAGTGTCAACAAAGTGGCAAGTGAGTAGTCCTGATAGTGGAGGTAGAGTATGCCTAACAGGTTTGGGCTGGTTTATTTTTTTTTTTTACCTCCTTCTTTGAAATCCTGTTGCATTAAGTTCTATAAAAAAACCTCCCACAATAGCCCAAAATAACTTCCAAAGTAAAAATGGTTCATTGTTCTCACTCACCCAAGTATTCCCAAGGATTTGAAGAGTCTAACAAAGTATTAATGGGAAGGTCTGAGTGAAGGTCTGAACAGTTGCTGGGTTGATGGCTGAAATGGCAGCATGGTGGAGGGAGGAGTGATGAGTATGACAGATTTGGCATAACTTACTTTTTCTTTCTCCACTTCTTCTCTAGAATCATATTTGTAGTAAGGCGAGAAAAACAATGTGGTAAGGTAGTAACCCCCCAATTCTTGAATTAGCTTACTGTCAATCCTAACAAACAAAAAACAACAACAAAAAAAGCATCACCAACAACAGATCATTCTACCCTTAAAATTCTTTTTAATTTTGAAAAAAAATGTAGAAGGGTGATATGATTCTGTGGACTATCATTTGTGAAGGATTATGGTCAGAGAGCAGAGCAAGAAAGTACAGACTCCTTTAACAAGTCATACTGTTTCTGCTACATTCTTCAGATATTCAGCAGTATTTTGATGTCTTGTATCACTTACCATATTGATATTAAATTTTATATTTGCATTTCAGTAGTATAATCCTTTATCTGTCAAGGATTCCTCACCCACTTTCTTTATGGAAGTGGTAAACTGAGTCAGGGATAATACCTCCAAGACAGTGACTGAGGCTCACAGTTGACATTTTTATCCACAACAGTAGGACTGAAATAATATTCAGTGGAGGGCCAGTGGTGGTTAGGGACCTCTGCTCAAAGAGCTTAATTGCTGAATTGTTTGTTGGTCAAAACCTGGTTGCAGACTTAACTCTAAAGCCCATGCATATATTTAAAAGCTTGGGTTTTACCGACCTAATATGTTAATTTGTGTCCTGCAGAATATGATTTAAAGTCTCATGTCAAAATGTTCAAGCGCTTAAAGAATTTGAGAAGAAAAACAGTGATAAAATTTCACCGATGTTACTGAAAATTTGCTTATTTGATATCTAAACATATTTGAAGGTACAAAAGACTTCACACTGTAAATGAATGGAATATATTAACAGAAATTCGAAATAGGTGTTCAGTACAAAATGTCTGTTGAGCTGGTAATCTTTGTGTGTGTTATGTTGAGCACTAACATTCCTAAGATGCCTAGACTTGTGCTTATTGGATGTTCCTAACTCTTGCATGACTCAATCAGAGTTCAAAACTAGATGCTCTTTAAAGGCACCTAGAGATCTCCATTCTCTTGATGTTCTTACATCATGCATAATACAAGCTAACAAGTACTGTTTATAGCAGTGCTCACTGCTATGTTATGTCCTAGGATCAGTCTTTGTGACATAACATGTAAAGTTCTGAGTTTATAGAAAAGTGACAGAAAGCTCAGATTCGAAGTACCTGACTTAGCCAGTATCTGAGTTCTGTGGTGGTTTAAATTGCAAGGTATTTTGTAGATGTGATATCGGAATGGTTAAGAATTGCTCTTTGGTGCTCTTTGATTAAAACTTTGTAATGTGAATCGGTTAATTCTATTCCATTGGATTGAGAGGCTTTGGCAAGTCTCAGTCTTTTGTAAGTCTAGCTTTGTGGTCAGCCTTAAGAAAAAGGATTTATGCCATTTTTTCCAGCAATCATTGATCCTACTGCCCAGTTTCATTTCAACTTTACAGGTAGAGTGTTGGCAAGTACATTGAGTTCCCATTACTTTCATGAATAGGCACAGAGGAAACACCAAATAATTGCTGGGGTGCAAGAAAAAGCTTCAAGCATAACGTTGTGCTTTTACTACATTATCAGAGTATCCTAGGGGTGAAGTTTGGGGCAGTAACACAAGGCTTTTTAATGCGAAGTGCCAGGTAACTCTAGTCATGGATGTTGAAATCTTGCTAGGGCCTTGCAGTGTGTCATGAAAATATAACAGTAAAATTTTCATTTTCAGTGAAAGATTAGGTTATTATTGCAACTACTTCTTGGAAAAAAAATACATTGCTATTTGGGGGAAGGGCAGAAGTCTTACTGTTCTGCTGCAGCTCAAGGGCACACATTTGACAGGAAATAGCCTTGGTATTGCTTTCTTATGAAAACTGAAATTTGATCAAAGCAAAAATCCATTTTTGTGAAATCTA